AACACACACACACACACACACACACACACACACACACACACACACACACACACACACACACCTTAATACACACACATAGGTGCATGCTCAGTAGAGTGCAGAGGAATGTTGCACATTCCTATCCGATTCTGAATAGTGTGAGTGTGAAAGTCAAATTATAACACTGAAAACCTACATAAAATATTATTAAGTTGTAAAGTACAACTACAACACAACAAATGAATTACGGTGTTTATAGCAGTGCATGGTAGTCTTGGTAGTATAACAATGGGTAGTGGGTAGCGCTATTGTTTTTCGGAACCTCTTTTGTAGGAGGAAGAGAGCGACCTTCACGTTTGTTTGAGAGGCTTCCTTTGTCTACAATCTGATAATGGCGTCGAATGAAAGAGTCATCGTCTTGGGATGAACTGACTTTATGGCGGTCGCGTCTTTTTCTATTACGGTGTAATTAAGTCACCAATGTACATCATTTTATGTGGCCATTTTGCAGCATATTGCTGGTCGTGGGGTCTGGGCCGCGAAGTGCATGGGCTACTTAATTATTGGGAAAGGCGAAAAGATTCCAGTCCAAGTAATTTTCAAACATTGTAGGCCTACGTATTGACTCCCCTGGTCCTAAAACGTCTCCACTATTCAAATAAACAATATAACGAACTTAACTTCAAGCTGCGTGAATAAAGTAACAACAACATCAAAAATAACGGGAACAAAGTATGCGCCTAGTATTAGTAGGCAACCAAAAAGATTGCGAGTTTTTTTTTTTCCTTTTATGGTAAGTGTTTTACGGCCCTCGCAACTGCATAAGGTCATTGAGCGCGTGGGACACATTGGACTTTTTTTTAGTTGGAAGGAAATTTTGAATTTTTGCCCGGATGGCGGCCGAAGCCTACTGTTAGTGTTATTAATTTTAGATCACCAAGGCTAGGGATTTTTAACGAGCTCAACTTGCGCACGGGCCCTCCGATAGATATGTCGCCCTTGTCCGAGAAGGCTAGGTGTAAATCTTTCCTACCGATGATCTGGGCTCTGGCTGAAAGACAACAGTAAGAAGGAGCCAAGGAGCAGCAGTACGGTACTGCAGAAAGAGTCAGGAGCCCTGGGGAGGGGGCAAAGGAGGTGAGGGGATGGGGGGTGGGGGGCAGAAAGAGGAGACGAAAAGCAGACGACAGAACATTGCTAGAGAACAGGAAAGGAGGTGAAAGGAGACAATTTTTCGATCACTACCCGGATTCGAACCCGGGATCTTTGAATGAGAGGTCAACCAACACCTTAACCTCTTGGCCACGAGAGCCCCATTGCGTGGTTTGAAAAACGCGAATATTCTTAAAAATAATTAAATACCTTCTCAATGCTACCGACCTTCACCAATCTCCCGTAAGCTGCAAATCTTTGCCGCCCCTGACACCCCAAAGCTATTCCCCCGCTCCCTGGTCTGCTCAGGTGTGTGTTTGTGTATGTGTGTGTGAGTGTGTGTGTGTGTGTGTGTGTGTGTGTGTGTGTGTGTGTGTGTGT